GCTCCTGCACTCTGAAGATGCCGGTCACAGGTGCTGGAGAAACGTTAGGAAACAAAACTTCTAGACCACGGCCACACAGCCCGGAAGACCCACACCAGCCATCGTACGCTGGTCGTGAAAGCCTTCGACAATACATTGTAGTCCTGTTATTTGATATTTGGCAAGTAAAGAAGGCTAATTCTACTATCACTTCTTTTTTTCTTTCCATCTCATCGTTATCATGAAAAAAATCAATATTGAATCTTTCTTTTTTTTCACCAATTATATAAATAACATTATTCCTTCTAAACTGAGAAGTACTTTAGACTCAAACTATGCTCCAATGTTGAACTTAATTCAGTGCAATTCATCATAACTGAAGTCCTTTTCCTGAACATTTATTCAGTCACTGTTGGGTAATCAGTCATTTTAAATAAAATTAAAGAGCAATTACACTTTTTTTCCAGACATATTTAAATAAAACAGAATCTGATTCAGAGGTCTGGGATATAATGAAAGTATTTACAAGATGATTGTTAAAAAGTAATGATAGTAGAACTAGAAGAAGGCATACTCAAAAAGGTGCCAAATTTTGAATGAAAGTTCAGGTGGGGAGTGTAAACAGTATATAGGTGATAGCAAACACAATCAAACAAAAACAAAGAGCTTCACACCTTGGATATAAATAAAATGCATCATGAATAAGGGCAGAGTTATTACAGGGAGACCTGGCATTGATGTGCAACAACCAGAAATCCAGGCTTCTGAACACCTCACAGCCTGGTTCTCAGGATATGCATGATATGTCATTCCAGACCACTGGAAAGCATCTTGAGTGGCTTTAGGCAGATGTTAGGTAGCAGGGAGTGAGAACCAAATCCTATGGCACCCCTCATGGGAGCATTTAATGGATTCTCTCTCCTCCCCCAAGAGGCATAGACTGGAACCACCCACTCAGAAATGGGTGCCTCAAATCCCCAACTATTACAGAAATTCCAGGAAGATACTATGGTTGATAGTCTCCATTCTGAGTACTAGGTCTCATCCTTGTTACAAAAGAAATAACCCCATTAGTAATTATCAGAGCAGAAGGATTAGAATGATATGATTTTATTCAATTTATAGGAAATCCACAGATCTTTTTTTAAGCACAACTTGTTCCAAAAACTCATATAATATTTTTTCCCCCTACACATCGAAGAAAACTAATATGGCTGATTCATTTTTATACAATAGAAAACTAAAATATCTACCAAAAAACTAGTATTACCAGAGGCTTGACAACGTTTCATAAACTATTCTTGAAATTTTATCTGGACCAATTCAAGATATTAACACACAGAATTAACACAGCTCTCTAGTGTATATTTTTTCCACTCAACCATGTGTGCATAAGTTCAGAAGCAAACTATAATGAGTTTGTAAACAGTTACCAAACAATTTGCTATTCAGTATACACTTATCTAGAATAATTTCAATCAGATACAGTATATTAGTACATGTATATACTGTACTTTGGTTCTTGACACGGACTATACGGCCATCGTTCGGGGGAGGGCAATTCATTTATCTAGGAGGCCACAGTAAGTTTCTGAGGGGGACATCCAAATGTAATTGCCAAGTGTGAGATCAGTTTGTCATCTCATTCTCTGTGCTAATTTCAGCAGTGTAAACATTGAAAATGACTAACGTTTGTAATAAATATCTGTCAGCTAACAAGGACTATGTGGGGGTTCAGAGAGGTAAATGAGACTACAAAAGGGGCCATGAGCAAAGAAAGAAAAAAAAGGAAAAGAAAAAGAGATGGAGAACCACTGCATTAGAGTAATGTAGAGTCACTTTTTGTGGGACGGGCGGTATCTAAATTTGAAATATAAATAAAATAAATAAAATGTATGAATAAATACTTTCTGTATGTCTCCATTAAGTTTACTGCAACATATGCTTGGAAACTCAGTAATACTTTGTGGAATGGATTAGATATTCCTACTTTTCAGAAATGTGCAATTCTTATACTGCCTTTAATGCTTCCCAGTTGTAAACATATCCATATAAACTGAAAGAGCAAGTCTTTTATATTCTATATTTGTTAAATGATATAGACCTGCATTAGTTAAATGCAGGTAGTCCTCGCTTACCAACCGCTTGTTCAGTGACTGTTCGAAGTTACGATGGCGCTGAAAAAAGAGATTTACAACTGGTCTTCAAATTTGCAGCTATCACAGTCCCTGCCATCACATGATCACCATTTGCAAGCTTCACAGCTGGCTTCTGACAAGCAAAATTAATAGGGAAGCTGGCAGGGAGTCACAAATTGCAGGCACATGACGTCTCACTTAACGACCGTGGATGATTTGCTAATGACTGCAGCCAGAACTGATGTTGTAAGTCAGTGAAGTCACATGCTATTTCATTTTATGACTGTCATTTAGCAATGGAGTTGCCAGTCCCAAATGCAGTTGGTGAGGACTACCTGCATTATCCAAACAAAATCATCTACAGTACATTCAGAACCTACTTGGTTGAAAGTGCTGGGCCAGGTGATGGCTTCCTCATGAATGGTGAACATTTTGTCTTTAGCAGCCCAGGGATCCAGCTTCCCAACTTTCACTCGATGGAAGGACTGGTTTGGGAATATCACCCAGTTCTCAATATCCAGTCCTGTAACCAGTTCTCCATTCTCATCAAAGGAAATTTCATCCCCAATGCTGTTATTAAATGCAATTCTTTTCAAAAAGAAGTGAAGCTGAATATAGAAAACATTTGAATGTATTGGTAAAAAGAAAAGATAAGTGTGAGAGAGAGCATGGTTAATATACAGATTTATGTGACAGCTCAAAACAGTTTACACATGAGGGGGATACTTCCTAGTGTGCAATGTTCTGGTCATCCTCCATCTATATTTTCTTATATACCACCATTAATCAAAAATGATTTACAGAGTAGTCTATAAAAGAAATCTAGCCCACCTAAAACCATACATCTAGGAGGTTTTCATTCTCAAAAATATATCAAATTGGGAGTTTTATTTAATGCATAAAGATGATAATGTTTGGACTATTTTTTCACTAGGATTTATGTGTGTGTGTGTGTGTGCGCGCGCACATGTATTTTCTGACCAGCTCTTATTAGAGATATGCAGATCAGGGAATAATCAATCAGTTTAATTTTTATGCCAATTATTCAAAGTAAACAGTTATACAAAGGAATAGACAATGGTTGCCCATACTTGTGTTAATATCAAAATTGTCTTTCTTTAATGTTTAAAATCTGGCATCTGTACTGGCATCTTTGACAGAAGAAAGAAGACAGGAAGGAAGGAAGGAAGGAAGGAAGGAAGGAAGGAAGGAAGGAAGGAAGGAAG